TGAGCCACCCAGGCGCCCTATTTTATTTTATTTTTTAAGATTTTATTTATGTGACAGAGGGAGACAGCCAGAGAGGGAACACAAGCAGGGGGGAGTGGGAGAGGGAGAAGCAGACTCCCCGCTGAGCAGCGAGTCCAGTGTGGGCTCCATCCCAGGATCCTGGGATCATGATCTGAGCTGAAGGCAGATACTTAACCGACTGAGCCACCCAGGTGCCCCTCAGAGCATAATTTTAAAACAAAATGGGAATCAAAGTTTTTCCAGAATTAAAATTTTGACCTGAAACCAGAACTTTAATATTTCTGTGTAGAAGTGATAATTGAACTGTGTGCGGTTAGTTGTGTAAATTGTGATTTTTTTTTTTTTCCTCCAACTGAAAACATTTTAGGAGTTTTCAGATCAGCATCCAGAAAATGCAGCTGAAATTAAGCTGACCATGGCACAACTGAAGATTTCCCAAGGTATTAATAATTATTTCATCATGATTAAAATATTTTAATGGAAACATGGTTGAAATGTTTCTGAAGTAGTTGTGAACTATGTGGTTTTAAAAATTTTGCAAAAAAATTTTTTTGCATAATGATGAAGCATAATTATTACTGTTTCAAACAGCCTTTTTTTCAGGTTATTCTTAAATTTTTAGAATGATTCTCAATCTATGCCTTGAAAGTGGGTAGAAGCAAAGGATTCCTATGTTTCAAAAGACCATACTTAAATTTTCTGGGTATGTCATATGTAGAAATGCTTATATCTGTCACTTGCTAGTATTTGCATGAAAGAAGGGTTACTTTGCATTTAGCTTTCTTAACTTAACCCTTTATCCTTTGTTTATAGTTTACCCATATCTTTGGGGGAAAAGAGAGGCAGGGAAATTTAATGAAAACTGACATTTTTGAATCCTACAGAAAACTGCTAGTGGTTTTTGGCCATGATTTGAACTAGCCTTAAGTGATTATCTAGAGCTTTTGGTAACCATTATTTACATGTAGCTATTTTAACTTTAAAATAAAATGAAATTTGTTAAAAGTCAGTTCCTCCCTTGTGCTAGCCACATAGAAACTTCATAACCACATGAGGCTAGTTGAACAGCATAGATAAAGACATTTCCATCATAGGAAGTTGTATTTCTGGTGTAGACCATGCATTCTCAACATGGGGGTAGGGATCATTTGTTTGGTGGGAGGCCAAAAAAATTACAGATATTATGGCCAAAATGAAAATTTCATGGGTAATGATCAGGATACTTGATAATTAGAGAAAAAAGAAAGTCTTACGAGATTTCTTAGTGTTTAGTAATAAAAACAAGGTTAAGAAACATTATTGGTTTTGGGGTACCTGGTTGGCTTAGTTGGTAGAGCATGCGACTCTTGATCTCAGAGTCATGAGTTTGAGCCTCAGAGCTCCACATTGGGGGTAAAGATTACCTAAAAAAAAAAAAAAAGAAAAAAGAAACATTGTTGGTCTCCCATAATATTACCCATTCTCACATTTCCTTATCTTCCTCTCTTATTTCTTATTCCTTTTCCCACTTCTGCTTTTTCTTGCTCTTCCCTTATTTTCTTTCCTTATCCAGTTTTTAGTTTATTTTTGAGAGGAGTATTTATCCTACTAAAATTACTAAGAAAGAGCTGTCATTGGTTTCTATTTTGCTTTTAAAGACTTTGGAAGGTTACATTATTGATGTTTACAATGACTAGAAAATCAGTATTTTGACACTGTAGGAAATTTTCCATTGCACTCACATCTGCAGTAACATGTTTTAAAGTCTTTAAGGGTAGGATGTCCTTTAAGTTACAGTCTGAAAATGGAGAAAGACTGGGTGGGAGTTGGGAGACTTCTTTTCTGGTAGAATCTCTGCCATTAACTTTCTTTGTGGGTGTAAGCAAGGTATATTGTTTCTTGGGACCATTATCCCAAAGATCCCAAAGCTTGAGTATTTGGAGATACTACAAAATAGGACTTAAATTTCTTATTGTTATTGTTTTTTAATAATATGTTTTCTTCAGTGTGATGATGATGTTTTAATCTCTCAAGGTAATATATCCAAAGCATGTCTAATATTGAGAAGCATAGAAGAGTTAAAGCATAAGCCAGGCATGGTGAGTTTATAACTAAAATATTATAAGACTAAAAAAGTAGCGGAATTATAGTCTATTGGTATGTTTGATGTTTCTTTGTATTTAATTTCTGTTTATTCATAATGTAGGAGTAGTAGTTAAAATAAGTTACTGGTCTGCATTTAATGTCATTTTGTTTTCTGCTGTGCATTGGTTTATTATTTAGGCAAATATGCCAGGCACTGTTTAAGCCTTACATTATCACTAAAAGCCAACCTTAAATAATCTAAAACCTGTATAGGGAATTTCTTAGCCTAATTTATTTTATCATGTCTTCAATGTGATATTTTGAGATAAAAAAATTTAGTGATAGTGGCCAATAAATTTAGTTTTTAGTTCTGTGATGATTCAGTCATCACAGATTTAGATCACCGATATAGCTGTGAAAGCATCTATTTCAAAGTAGAGGCTAATGCTATCATTGGTGGTATGTACATTTATTGAACAGGGACTTTTATTCATGTCTGTATCCTCTAACACAGCTTGTTTACAGTTGGCACTCAGTAAATGTATATTGGTAATGTATTATGGTAATGCTTTCTCCTTTGAAGATTCATATTTTCAAGACTGGACTACAGTTACTCTGTATTAGAATCAAATATAAATTTCTAAAATTTCATATCTGGCCTTCTATTACCTTTCAAGAAATTTGTCCACTTCATCATTGTTGAACTTACTGGCATAAAAGTTGTTCAGGTATTTCCTATTTATCCCTTTAATATCTGTAGACCATCTCTCATTCCTGATACTGGTTATTCAGGTCTTCTTTTTTGTTTTCTGATCAATTTAGCCAGAGGTTCATCAGTTTTATTGATTTTCTTAAAGATCCAGTTTCTTGGGCGCCTGGGTGGCTCAGTCGTTAGGCGTCTGCCTTCAGCTCTGGTCATGATCCAGGGTTCTGGGATCTAGCCCTGCATTGGGCTCCCTGCTTGGCGGGAAGCCTGCTTCTCCCTCTCCCACTCCCCCTGCTTGTGTTCCTGTTCTCACTCTGTTTCTCTCTGTCAAATAAATAAATAAAATCTTAAAAAAAAAAAAAAGACCCAGTTTCTTGTTTCTGTTTCCTTTCTGTCCTCATCTCATGTTGCTTCTCCTATTCTCACTCTACTCTAGCGACATAGGTCTCCTTGCTGTCCCTCCAACACACTAGGCAAGCTTTTCACTGGCCTTTTGTAGCTCAGGCCAGATAGAACTTATCATGGGAGTTTAGCCACGCTGGTGTGTACCTCACTATCACACATTAGATGTCCCAGCAGTGTTTTATTATATAAACTAATTTTTAAGTACTATTCTCAACTATTATGCTTGCTACGCACTAGTAACAAACTGTGAACTGGCACTAGTTTAAGAGGAAAGTTATATTTTATTTTATTTT